TTCTGACTTTAATCTCAGAATTCTGACATTTATTCTTAGACTTCCTACTTAACCTCAGAATTCTGACTTTAATCTCAGAATTCTGACATTTATTCTTAGACTTCTGACTTTAATCTCAGAAAACTGACTTAATCTCAGAATTTTGATTTAACCTCAGAATTCTGATTTTTAATCTCAGAATTCTGACATTTATTCTTAGACTTCCTACTTAACCTCAGAATTCAGACTTTAATCTCAGAATTCTGACTTTTAATCTCAGAATTCTGACTTTAATCTCAGAATTCTGACTTTTAATCACAAAATTCTGACTTTAATCTCAGACTTTTAATCTCAGAATTCTGACTTAATCTCAGAATTCTGACATTTATTCTTAGACTTCCTACTTAACCTCAGAATACTGACTTAATCTCAGAATTTTGACTTTTAATCTCAGAATTCAGTCAGAGTTCTGACAGCTAACAAACGTCTTAGTATCAAGCCGTAGCCACGTCTGTTTTATAGACTAACTCTCTTGTTTTAATCACCTTCTGCTCTAAAACAAAACAGCCTTGAACTGAATGATAAATTTCCCTCTCCATGGCCTAGGATCGGACAATAAACCCGAGACTCAGCAGCAGTCTGGGGGGGCATCACAGGAGCTTCCTGCAGACATGTACTACAACTACGAGGAGCTGTGCTCCAGAGCCACCGTCACACCCGACTCTGAAATCCCACAGAACCTTTTAATCCTCTCGTATCCTAATCTGGGTCACTTCAGAAAAACACAAGATTATAATTTCCAAATCTGCTTTCTTTCCATCTTCATGAAACTACATTAAATCCATTGTAAAATGTACAAACAAGGACATTAAGTATGTCCAGATCTGACATTGATATCAGTATTTAATCCCATATCAGTCAAACAACAAATATTGACCAATATTGGCCTGCATTTAAATGAATATGTTTAGAAAACATGCAAATTGAAGCAAAAGAACAGGTCCACCCCTTAGTAATGGGGATTCATTGAGGTCTTTGTTAGCCTGAAATATCCAGAACTTGCCTATGCCTCTGAAAAGAGAGTCATTTGTTGGCCTGGCTGACCAGAC